TTAAATTTCATATTTGATATGCTGAATCAATGATGGTTGAAGCCTTGAACTTAACTCAAACAGTTTTATCTGAAGTTCTTCACCCTATATGGACCTGTCCTTGATCTGCTGATGATAATGAAGCTCTTCTTAAAGTAGATAAATTGATGTCAACTTCTTTTTCACCTGTTTAAGTAATAAACAAATTTCTGTTAGAGACGATTAACCACACTTCAATAGATACATATAAAGTTCAATACATTGTTTAAAGAATATTTATCGTTCGAAATACATCGTTAGATGTTCTTATCTGTAAAAATGTATAAAAGTACTTTGAAGAGCGTTAAAAACTTGATTTGTGTAGTTTCTTTGAAAACATGAAGATCTCTTTGCAAATAACTTTGGTCGCAGTCTTTGTCGCAAGTAAAATATCTCAAACTTAAATTAATTTAAAAATATCTCATCAACTTTTAATTTATTTTCAATCGTTTCCAATTAGTTGGCACTGCAGAAAAAATATGTGTAGAAGTTCCAACTCAAGTAAATGGTAAGAAAAATTATTGATTACGTGGATCATATTGGAGCTACGAACAGAGTCATAAAAGTTTTACTCAAAATTTTCAGCGATTTGAAATGTCCTTTTATTTTCAGAGGCTTGTAGTCTGTCACTTGACAGTGGGTCATCTCCGTGCCCGGAACCTCGAATACGATTTTCTTATAATAGCTTGGTCGGCATTTGCACATCATTCGAATATTTTGGTTGTGATGGTGAAGTTCCTGGCAACTTCGACAGCTCCGCGTCGTGTCAAAGTTCATGCATTGACGGAACACCTACTGGTGAATAAAAACCTCAACTTTTATCAATAATAATCTAAACATAATGAATTTTTTTCTCTTAGCTCGATGTATGGAAAGTATATTTGAAGGATCATGTAGAGGACAAGATTTAAGCAGTACGAGATGGTATAGTGATGGTGGTGAATGTAAAGAGTTCACTTACTCTGGTTGTGGAGGAAACGCCAACAATTTTGAGTCTCTCGAAGCATGTGAAGCATCATGCCCATAAGACGTTTGAGTTCTTGAAGTCTTTCGAATTCCTTGAAATGTGAAGAAGGAACGGTTTTACTATTATAAAAACCATAAATAAAACCTCGAATTCACAATTTTATGTTGAATGTGAGTTTTTGAGTTTAATTTCAGATCAGTTTTATTCAAATTGGGAAAAAGACGACAGTTTATTGTAATTCTCTAAGTATTTGTGATTCACATTGTCTTATTTAAAAAACATGACTTCTTAATAATGTTCACCTGTTTCAATAATAATGATGAGATATTGAAAAACATTTTGAAAGGTAGCACAACAGAGCAAAACAGACAAAATGGAATGCGAACAATATATTACGCACACGACGATCACGAAGTTAATCTATTTACAGATGCTTCAAAGACTGGGGATCGAGTGGTTCTGGGAATATTCAACAAAATTAAGGATGGGAAACACATACACTCTCCGAGAAGACACAAACATCATAAATGCATAATAAATGATAATAAACTATTCTTAATCCACTCTCCTTACAAAAAAAATTAAATTCCTACATTCAGCTCTTTGTACTAAAAAAATTGTCTGAATTCATCAATTGTTATTAAAAATTTTGTTTTTATTATTAAACTAAAACAGAGAAATCACATAAATTCTAAATAATATTCGCTTTGATACTCTCTTTTTAATTCTCGAAGTGGACACGGTCGACTAAACTCTTGACCATACTCACGAATACATTTGTTTGCAACCCATTTTATTCCCAAAAAGCGGCAGCGCCTTTGACTGCCCTTTCGTAACGCTGAAGAAGGCGATTTCATTTGAAGGCAGATTTTATACACAAATTTTTATTCTTTAGTCAGAATTGTCGGAAAAGGTTTTATTTTAGTTTGACGAGGTTTATATAGATAAGTTCAAGGTTGAACTAAAGTCGTGAGATGCAATTCTCCTATCTCTCTTCTAATTACATTACAACATGCTTAAATTCGAACTTTTATATAAGGGAAAACTGTGTAACCGCCTTTTGGTACATCAGTCAACTAAAAATGAAATCTTTAGTTTATTAATTAGATCTCCCGATCTCAAATTTCGCGATTAACTTTTACAGTTTTGCTAGTTTGAAAAATCATTTTCTTACTTTCGATTCTTACATGTGCTTCGTGATTACGAGATTTTAAATTGCTTCTACCCAATTCTTTCTGATTCTTGATTTACTGCTTTGTTAAATATTAAATTGCATATTTGAAATGCTGAATCGATGATGGTTGAAGCATTGAACTTAGCTAAAACAGTTTTATCTGAAGTTCTTTACCCTATATGGGCCTGTCCTTGATCTGCTGATGATAATGAAGCTCTTCTTAAAGTAGATAAATTGATGTCAACTTATTTTTCACCTGTTTAAGCATTAAACAAATTTCTGTTATAAACCTCATTTCGTGAGTTACTCATACAGTCAATACATTGTTTAAAGAATATTTATCGTTCGAAATACATCGTTAGATGTTCTTATCTGTAAAAATGTATAAAAGTACTTTGAAGAGCGTTAAAAACTTGATTTGTGTAGTTTCTTTGAAAACATGAAGATCTCTTTGCAAATAACTTTGGTCGCAGTCTTTGTCGCAAGTAAAATATCTCAAACTTAAATTAATTTAAAAATATCTCATCAACTTTTAATTTATTTTCAATCATTTTCAATTAGTTGGCACTGCAGAAAAAAAATGTGTAGAAGTTCCAACTCAAGTAAATGGTAAGAAAAATTATTGATTACGTGGATTA